TACCACCGTCATCATCATCATCAGCATCATCATCATAAACATCGTCATCGTCAGCGTCATCATTGTCATCGCCATCGTCATCATCATCATCATACACACCATCGTCATCATAAACATCATCATCATCATCGCAATCCTCCTCCTCGTCATCATCATCATCGTCATCCTCCTCCTTCCCATCATCATCATCATCATCATTATCATCATCATCATCAGCAGCATCCCGCCTCCCCCTCATCACCTTCATCACCATCATCATTTTCGTCATCAGCATGCACGTCCTCCTCCCTCCTCCTCCTCCTCCTCTTCCTCCTCCTCCTCCTCCTTCTCTTCCTCCTCATAGCCATCATCATCATCCTCACCCTCATCATCATCATGCTCATCACGACCAGGTTCACTATCATCATCGTGATCATCATCCCCAGTATCACAATCAGCAGCGTTGTCATCCTCCTCATTCCCCTCATCCTCATCACCAGCATCGTCCTCGTCATCGTCATCAGCATCATTATCATCATCGGCATCACCACCATCATCATAATCAACGTCATCATCATCCCCCTCCTCTTTAACATCCCCACCCTCATCAACGTCACCATCATCATCATCCTCATCCGCCTCTTCCTCCTCCTCGTCCTGCTCATCTCCATCCTCATCATCCTCCCCCTCCGAATCAACGGTATCACCATCATCGTCATCATCCTCATCGTCCCCCTACTCCTCCACCACATTATCGTAATGATCATCATCATCATTATCAGTCCCATCATCATCCTCATCTTCATCCTCATCGTCACCCGCATCATCTTCATCAACATCATCATCAACATCAACACCATCGTCACCGGCATAATCATCATCCTCATCAACATCCTCATCCTCCCCCTCATCCCCATCAGCATCATCCCCATCAGCATCATCCGCAGCATCATCCTCGTCGTCATCATCATCATATTCATCATCCTCATCCTCACCAACACCATCATCATCGTCATCATCATGATCTGCATCATCACCGTCATCATCATCATCATCATCAGCATCGTCATCATCGACATCATCCTCATCGTCAACCTCCTCAAGTTCCTCATCATCCTCATCATCTACAGCCTCATCCTCCTCCTCATCCGCATCCTCATCCTCATCAGCATCATCTTCATCAGCATCATACTCATCAGCATCATCATCAGCAGCATCATCATCCTCATTCTCAACTTCGTCCTCATCCTCATCCTCATCAGCATCATCCTCATTAACACACACCTCATCCTCATCATCGTCCTTCTCATCTTCCTCCTCCTCGTCCTCCTCATCCGCCTCGTCCTCATCCTCATGCTCATCATCAGCAGCATCATCATCATCGTCATCCTCATCCTCGTCCTGCTCCTCCATCTTCTCCTCCTCCTCCTCGTCATCATCAGCAGCATTATCCTCATCTTCATCCTGATCCTCATCCTCATCATCCTCCTCCTCATCCGCATCACCCTGATCATCATCAGCAAACGCAACCTCATCCTCATCAGCATCATCATCAGCATCAGCAGTATCGTCATCATCATCAGCCTCATCACAATCGTCGTCCTCAACATCATCCGCATGCTCATCAGCATTATCCTCATCCACAGCATCATCATCATCATCGTCATCATCATCATCATCATCATCATCATCGTCATTACCATGACCATCTTCAACCTGATCCTCATCCTCATCAGCATCCTGATCCCCATCAGTGCCATCAGCATCAGCATCGTCATCATCGTCATCCTCATCTTCCCTACTAGTCCTCATCATATTCCTCATCTTCATCATCGAGATCCGCATCCTGATCCAGATCCTGATCCTGATCCTCGTCAGTACAGCCCTCATCAGCAATACCAGCGGTATCATCATCAACCTCATCCTCATCATCATCCTCATCATCATCGGCGTCATCCTCATCAGCATTGTCATCATCATGAACGTCGTCCTCGTCCTCATGCGCATCCTCATCCTCATCCTCATCCTCATCAGCCGCATCCTCATCAGCAGCATTAGCATCGTCATCATATCCACCCTGCTCCGACTCACCCGCATCCTCATCCTCATCCTCATCCTCATCCTCATCCTCATCATCCTCATGCACATCCTCATCCTCAGCCTCATCAACATCACCCTGTTCAACATCAGCATCCTCATCAGCAGCACCACCATCATCCACAACCGCGTCCTCAACTTCATGCTCATCCTCATCAACATCCTCATAATCCTCCTCATCAGCAGATTCCTCGTCAGCAGCATCGTCATCATCAGCATCAGCATCATCAACCACATCCTTATCGTAATCCACATGAGCATCATCCTCATCGTAATCATTATCGTCATCATACTCATCCACGTACCCATCATCATCATCCTCATCCTCATCCACATCCACATCATCATCCTCATAAGTAGCATCCTCAGCAGCAGCATCATCATCGTCAGCATCATCCTCAACATGAGCATCATCCTCATCAGC